ATATTTCCTGGGGAATGACCTCCGAGGAGAACCGAGAGCTAAGGCAGTTTGGCAGCTGAAACGCCCAAGAACCACTGACAGGAGGTAGACCGGTTGGTTCAAAGGAATAATAATGCCAATTTTCAACTGTTGAGGAGTGAGCTGACGAATGCGCAGGGGTGAGGTGCGTGGACGGACAGAAGTGCTGCAAACGTTCTATGTTTTTAGATTGAGTATTGAAAGTGGGAGTTTTTCATTGTGGAAAAATCCAAAAGCTGAGAGACGAGCGAAACACGTCACTACTCAAGGAGCGCGCCGAAATAGATAGATGTTGGTTGCACTGAGGCAATCGACAGGAAGCCCTGGACCTAGGTTTCGTCCTTTTTGGTACTCGTCTGCACGGCATATCTGCAGTCTTGGTGGAACTAATGTCCTGTCTAAGATTCGAGCCGGCGTCACCCGGTGTTTTGATAAGTGGCGTTACCACTGGGCTATTCAGGTTGCAACCGACTTCCTGCAGGCAGGACATCACTTTCACCGAGAGTGGAGATATGCTTCGTTAACGGGTGTCGTAAAGCACGAAACCTGGATCTAGGGCTTCCTGCCGGTGCTCCGCATCCAACTAACACATATGGGTTACACCTAGTCAGGTCAGATTTATGGCGAGTGGGGCAGTTTTCACACGAACTGTGTGTAAGAACAGACATTCAGTCGGGAAAGTTGGCTGAGGACAGTGGCTCACTTACGCAGTATTTTATAGGTTTCACCTAATAGTCGTCTGAACCAGATTGGTGCATGATTACGAGTGGCGCTTCAGTGGTTCGGAATGACAAGAGTAAAGAATCGCTTCTAACTTCTTTGGTATTGTGGTTGCTGATGTTATGGGATATGATTTCTACTGTAGCCGCTTCAAGTAGTCACAGTGAGATACTTTGATGCTGGCACCGTAAATGGTCTGCATATTGTTGGAAAGGATTTGAAGCTCCTTCAAAGTCTAAGTCTCGGTGTTTGCCGGGCGCTGGACCTCTGCGAATTTCTTTCCACCAGAAGTCTATAATTATCCGTTCCTGGCCGTCTGTACTTTCAAAAGCAGTAGGCAGCAGACGGCTCAGCGACTGCGTCAACTTGTATTGGGCTGTTCAACAAACGAGCTTAGTGTTTATCTGTGCCACTGGTCCCGCCAAAAGTTAGTCGACACATGCTGATATTCAAGAGGAAAACTTGTGGTATCCTACTGCGTATCATCTGTTCTTCTGCTTGTTCACTTTGGTTGGCAGAGAAACCAGTGAAAAATCAACACCTTTAGTGTATATAAGCACTTTACAATTTGTGATAACACTGCTTTTGCTAGAAGTAAAATTATAGGAAAGTTCCACACGGAAGAACACTTCTTGCACTGACTTTACAACTCTTGAGAGTCAATATCAGTGTCATGCTCATGCTCTGAAATTAAAGTACAACGCAGGATTTATTCATTGGATAACAACAGCAATAGCAACGTAAACTACGTGACATAAACTACATGAAAAGAAACCAGTTTACAAGCATGATCACTTTGGTGATGTGAATTCATCTTAATGTACAATAAAACCCAATGCTCGAGATGTTGTTACTGACTACACGACTTGCGTAAAGGGGAAGTACAGGGCTCTTGGTCGCCTTCCATAGTCCAACATCCGTCAGCCCGCGACACCTCCTTGGAAAGTCATTGGGTGTATGGCTTTCACATTCTTTCAGTGTCAGGTCTGCACCACGAATGACACTGCTGTTCAGACGCACTTATCTTTGTTTTCAGAGATCCAGCCACAGTGACACCAGTTTCCAAACAACCCCGAAGCATGTCAGATGCATGTTTTCCAGTGGGAAAATCTGCGCCATCTTGGTAGGCAACCGTCACGGTCCGACCTACCGCTATGATGATTACATCGCTCTTGGCGATGAAAGTTATCAGTGGTCCCCAGGGTCAGTCAATCACTCAGGAGGGTCATCCAAAAAGTTTTTTGATTCCGGAAACCGTGCGCTTATCGCTGTGCGTTGTCCCATCTGCCCTAATGAGCACTAAACATCCGCAATGGCTGGTGAATCACAAATGACTGAAACAAGTTTTACGTTTACGTGTTCGCAAAACTTGTTGACGTAAATGCCTCCCAGCATTAGAGGTCTGCCATCAGGTCAGTGGACAGTTTAGTGGGGTTTGATGGCTTATGCTGCCCGCCGTGCACACCAGTTAGGACGCCACTTTTTGACAGGTGGATGTCACAGCATACCTAATACGGGCCGTGGATGCTAACTAGAAATCTGAAAGTGATAAGCTATCGTAGCTCAACTGCATTTCAACGTCACTGAAAGTACTGAAACCCAGCCAATTCCCTAAATGAAGTATATTATTCTTCAGTCCAATATAGTCACTGGGGAAGTTCCTTGTGGAGTTCCCAAAATGATGCCGGCATTTGCTCAACTGGTGTTCGTCCCCACCATACAACTCATGGCAATCTTTGTCATCCGTTCCCGCTTACTTTTACTCTGGTCTACAGACGCGGCAGGTGCGTCGGTATCCTGATTTTATATACAAAAAGTTAGTCTTAACACATAACAAAAAGTCATAAGCGGATCGAATTGCAACGCTATGTACCATCATGGAACAGAGCACAGAATGGCGGCCAACTCTTTACCTCAATCTCATCGACTTTGGAAAGGCCTTCGACAGTGTCAACCGAGAGGTAATTTGGGAACTGCTTCAACACAAAGGTTTTAGTGCCACAAACCTTTATCAACCACATTCAACAGCTATATGCTATACGATGCTACAGGTCAAGTGGTTGGCAGTGGAAAGGTCGGTGATGCGTCTGAAGTGAAGACAGGGAACAGGAGTAAAACGAGACTGGCTACTATCACCGATGGTCTTCCTGATTGTGGTCGACTGGACCATGTCTTGCAACAAACTGTGAGGAGGGAGAAGAGGGACACACTCTGTTTTACCGATGAAAAGACCCAAAAGATTAGGATTTCGCCGTTGATGGTTTATCTCTGATCCACTGTCGCACAAACTCGAAGATCTACAGGCAAAAACCAACGGGTTGGCTGATGAGGCAGGGTAGTGAGGACAGGACTTCCTTCAAATGAACGTAGTGAAGACTGAGGTGATGAAGATACTCAACCAACAACAAGCACAAATCCCCATAAACGGAAGGAATCTAAAGGAAGTTGTCTCTTTCAACCAACCCACCTACATAGGCAGCATCGTTTCAACCACAGGTGGCGGCACAGATGAGGATGTCAAAGCCAGGATCGGAAAGACAACAAGACAGGCCTTAATTAACCTGAAATCAGTATGGAGATCTACTGCACTCTACTTAGCATAAAGCGTGAACAAGATACAGACTTTCAACACTAATTCGGTCAAGTCAGTGCTTCTATAAGGTTCAGAAACTTGGCGCATCAAGAAAAGCATTCCCGACAACCTACAGACATACACCGACAGCTGCCGTCTATGCCCACTCGGTACTGAAGGACAGATGGTCGGGAAGGATAAGCAACAGGAAACTCTGGCCCAGCAGTGGGCCGACCAATAACCCATCGCCCAACAAATATGGAGAAGAAATGGGAGATGAATCGGACTGGATGTACACCAAGAAGACCACTTGGGGACACCGCATGCCAGGCCCTCGAGTGGAACCTGCATGAGGAACGACCAGTTTGAGGTCCGAGGTTGATATGGAGGAGACGGTGTGAGGAAGGAATTAAAGCTTCTTGGAATTCGTGGAGCCAAAGTGCAGTGGAGACGTGCTACTGAAGCCCTGTGTTCCATTAAGAACTCAAAGGACAAATAATAAAAGGCAATCCAAGCTATCCAAACAGTGGAAACTTACTGAACGGCCATCATGACGATCCCCTTGGTAGTGCAAGGAGAATTGCGCACGAAAGGGCGAAAACCCGTGTGCTTCCACGCTAGTCTTTGAGAGTTTGCGGCCACGGGAACGCATTTCCTGCCGAGGTTGCTACTGCTCCGTCTGTTGGCAGCTCCAAGAAGAGGTTGAACAGCTACGCAGAGATGCACGGTTTGCGCTTATCCAGGTGGGATATGGACTATGCTGATACAATGCACTGAATCCACACAAAGCACACCCAACCCACTACCGAATACTTTGTAACATAGCTACCATTGCGAAACTATCTCAAACGTATACTTCCATGTAGACATCTAGTTACCAACTCCCACTGATAGTATTATTATTTCGATCCCCACAAGCCGTTTTGTGACGTTATTCGCTCCCTCTCCTCCTAGTGACTGCAGGTTCTCACACTATTCGGTGAAGGCTCTCCCTATCACCCCCCTCCCATGAATCTATTGAGGTTTCTTCTTCCCTTCTGTCTCTTTTTGCCCAATCATCTTTTCTTTTTTTATCTTTCTTCGCACTTCCTCTCCCTCGATTTTCCCGGAGATCTTTCCCGTCTTCTTTTTACAACCAGTCTGACCAACTGTCTTCTGGCACGATACTTGAGGGACCCATCTGCACCACAGTCCTCAAAAAAACCACACACTTTCTGCAAATTTTACCAACATCCAACCGCCCGTTGGGTTAGCCAGAGCTACAGCAGTCAAGTGGGTAGACCGGCGGCATCGGAATCCACCAAATGTCTGGAACCGTTCGGCAAGACCTAGAAGCGAGCTCGAAGAAATCAGTTAGTTTACCTAGCTCGTAAAAAGATATTGGGTATTGAAAAGACAGTCACTACCTGAAAGCTGTGAAGAGGAGAACGCAAAGACTTCTGCAATCATCAAAGGAGTACAACCGAACAAAAAGAACCGAGCCTCAAGACCTAGAAGCGAGAGCTCAAAAACTACCAGTTTCATTTACTCGCATTGTTGATGTTGGATGTATAGTCGATGGATGTCGAATCGCTTATTCCAGCATCTGTTAAAGTGACTTTTAGACTTTCTGTATTCATGAGTTTGTGTATTATTCACCGTTATGTACCAAATACCTTATTTCTATATAGGCATGCACCAATAGGGTATAAACACAATGACCTTGAAGTGCGCAGCCACTCCAGGGTATCGAGGACATCACTAAATCGAGGCTTATTTCGGACCACATTAGGACGCATCACTAGTACAAGTGACTTCAGCTGATTCGATAAGCATCTATTGGGTGAAACTGGATCTTGACAGAGATAGCTTCAGTTAGGATTAACAGAGGCTGTTCAGCCTACTGATTTTTATGGTGAAGACTAACATGGCACTCACTGACGAACACAATCAGTTTTGATTTTACTGGTAATTTCGCTACTTCCAAAATATGGGTAAGTGACTGTGTTTACTTTTCATGTTTCGCCATAGATGGTTGTCTCGAACGAGTGCCATTTATTTCCTTGATTTCCCTTCTCTTGGTGGTATGCGGGTCAGGAATCATGTGCGGAACGAATTTTGAGGCCTTGAAACGAATTGAAGAATTTTTTGAAGACAGGTTTTACCCAATAAATGAGTAAGATGTGATAAAAAATTTATTTGCTTGCTCGATACTAAAGTCTCCCACATCGTGTTAAGACTCGTCAGATTTCTAGTTGAAAGTACGCCTGATCGGGCTACAATATACTTTAGAATCTAAAGCATAGCCACACATTTACTTGCGTTGATAAGCATCAACCATTACTCTGACCACGTAATCAAGTTGTTTAAGTCTATCTGAGGTACACGTACATCGTCGTCATCCCTAATTTCCTATTATGGTTTTACATCAGCTTAGACAACTATAGGGGATTTCGTAATACTCAGCAGCTCATGTATAGGCGAAAAAGTAGGGTGCACATCACAGCTTCGTGGCACACCACTGTCTACCGACTTCGAAGAGGCAAGGAGAGAGTTGATCCTTACTCTTTATATCCCACCGACAAGGATCTCTCTGATCCACGCAGATAGATTTCCAGTGATTTCGAAATTTTCCTGCTTTCCCAGAAACCTGGAGTAAAGCACCTTGTGCAACAGCTTACTAAAGTCTACAGATATCTTGTGATTCTTAGGGTTAGTCCAACTTTCTCCGACTATTAGACGGTTCGTCAAGCCAGCGAAAAGTTTCCAAACGCCATGTTGCGAACGAGAATGCAGTGTTGCTGTCTAAGTAAACGGTAATAGCTTTCTTAGTAACATTCTAGGATTTTTACTACAGTACTAGTCTAGCTTGGCCTGTTATTTGATGGGTGCTTTCTAGAACCTGCCTTGCAGATAAGTGCGACTGTGGCGTCCTTCCAATCGTCATCAGTACCAACATAGGACCGCCACTACTGTGTAACAGTCCGAGTTGCCACAACTCAAATCAGTATATCAAGTAAAAAGGCAGTCAGGTGCAAGATGAACATAAGAAAATTCAGTCAAAAGAAATACAAAGTACAAGAAGAAAGAATGAATGATTGACAAAATGGTGAGATTCGGTATAGCGTCGTTAAGATGAGGATAATGTGTGTATACATCTGCACCACTGTCATCGGTTCTCAGCCATGTCACCTAGAGTCTCCAACCACTGGTTCCTCTTGTCATTCAGACCCCAACCACCTAGTCTACATCCTCCCCCCACATGGCTTAAACCTACAGTCAAAGACTTCATACATTGATGCCATGTTTTAGCCTGGCCACCTCAGACCTTCTTCCAGCCTGGAACTACTTCGGCCAACATTGTATGACGAGGCAATCGACGACTAGGCATACGTAACACGTGTCCCAACCATCTCAATCGATAAAGGCTCATCACCTCGTCAACTGATTTACCTCTACTGCCTAAAACTCTGTAACTGACGTCTGCGTTACTCACGTGGTGACACCACGGAATACGGTCTATACTACGAAGGCAACGGTGGTCAAACACCTGAAGCCAGCCTCCCCATATCTTCCACCTTCATTGGCCATGCTTCACAGCCATACAGTGGAACAGAGCATACTGCTGTGCAGTACACGCAACCCTTAATAGACAAACGGATATCTCGGTGGCGCCATAGGTGGCGTAAGTTGGCAAAAGCCAGCCAAGCCTTTTGTATTTGTGCAGAGATTTCATCGGCCACTGAGCCACTACTAGGGAGGGGCTGATCCTTCTTCTCAGGTAAGTGAAGTGCTTGACACACCCAAACACTACACTCACTCTCTATCGTTAGCCGCGGTACTGTTGAAGACCAATCCTGGAGCAACAATTTGCATTTGGGTGGTGAGAACCCGCACGCCAATCATAGGAGTACGCCTTCAATAAGGGAAAGTAAAGATAGTCAATGGGCCAGCTAAATAGAGTCTAAGCTCTCTGAGCAACCTTGGATACAGCTCAACCGGTCTGGTAACCAAAGTACCTATTGTCTTGAATACATCATTGCAGTCAACGTTCACGGAGTTAGTTCTGCTGAACGTCAATGCTTCTACTGATGAATTAGTGCCTACAAAAGGTTCCTATGCAATGCTTCAGTAAAATATTTAGCCATATCCTCTGCTTTTTCCTTATCGTCTTCAATTAAACAATCACTTTCTGTCTCTGATTACGGCGCATATACCAGGTTACGTCCTATCCCCATAGTTCGTATACGGAAATAACCTCTTCGGGTGTTGCAGTGCAACCTTGGCAAGACGTTTTTCAAAATATATTCGAGACCGCTAGATAGCAATATATTTATCCCGGGCTTTGTAGTGCTTCTTCCCCCGAGGAGTACCGAGGTGAGTGGCAAGACTCCAACACTTTCTTGCATCGTAGCAAAATTCGAAATTCGTGGTTTCTACGGAAAACAATGTTTCTGTCCCTTCGGGAGACTCCACAAAATGAACGGACCAATCACTCGCGCATAAAACTGTTTGAAAGAGCAGCATGCAGCCTGTTATATATTCGAAGCGGATATAATACGCGCACTAAACTAACAGCTAACACGGGACGAATAAAGAAGAAAAGTGAAGTGGTTGGGAGAGTTTATTTCTCCGAAAATAGTCAACTAACCCAATCACATGTGCATGTACACACGTTAGATATGACCTTGTCAAGAAATTGAGACGTTAACATGGTAAAAGTAAGCATTAACCAATTAGCAAATTACGTGGCAATTCAGAAAACATGTTCAGATCGGTAACAATGTTTTATGCAAACTGAGGCCCTCCACCACCATTTTTTGAAAAAGAAAATATTCATACCTTTACTTTGTGTGCTTCAGTAGGGAACGTACTGTTTGAGACCGCTTCCGATCCATGCATTTTCTGGGTTAAAGTCCCTTGTTTCGGTTTCTTTCTGCATCGTTGGTAATTTAAAAGTATCGAGTGGTATGGTCGAATTCTCTGGTGGGTTGGCTTTTCTGTAACCCAGCCAGTTCTTGTGTCTCCCCACTTCTCCTGATTCGCCTTCATGTCGTACATCATGCTCCCGCGTCTTCTAGTGGCAACACTCTCCGTCCGCATGCCATGTCCTGGTCTGTAATATCGTATGTAGATGCGATCTACCTTGTTGAAGTGTGATCAGACTATTGGCGTTGTTTGTGCACGGCGTAATGGTAACATTGTGTGGTGTTGGGGTACGTAGCTTGCTTCCCATTAAAACCACTAGAGATTCGCGTTCTGGCTGCGCATCATTTGGTTTTAAGCGACAGACGAGTAGATATAGTTGAATGGCATCCGTATTCCTTCCCTCTCTTTCTGCATTGAGTAGGTTAGCTTAAAGGTATCTACAAGTCTTTCTGCCTGGCTATTGGATTGCAGATGGTACGGTGGCTTACGTATATGGTGAGTTGAATTCATATGGCAAATTCACGTGAGGTCAACTTGACCTGTTACGTGAAACTGGTCTCGGGCAACCCATGGCAGACAGTATTTGTAAGAGCAGCAATTATTCGACGTGAAGATACTGGTGGTACTGCGATGATCTCCGGCCGCTTGAAATAAGTATCAACAACAATCATGTAATAGGTTCTATGTAATGGACCTGCGAAATGGATATGGATTCTAGCCCAAGGTCGGTCCGGCAATAGCCAACTCTGCTAGAAAACTTAAGGGATTCTTAGCCACCTTCTGGCATGATGCCCAGCGACCGACAAATTCACCTATATCAGAATCCATATTCGGCCAATAAGCATAGCTTCTGGCGGTGGTTTTCATACATCCTATTCCTGATGACCAGCGTGAAACTGCTTTAGGGTTTTTCCATAAAGAGACCGGAGGGCTACGCGTTCTCCAAAAGTTAGGCAGTTGCTGACGATACAGAAAGATTCCTACAGAACAGTTGTCTCAGGTCACCGACAAACGATTTTTGTGACCATTTATCTGGACATAATGCATGACTTCCTGCATGATTTGATCCTTGCGAGATTCATTTTCTACTTGAGCCGACGTGACAGAAACCATGTGGATTGCAAAATCCAGTAGGCGAACTGCACAATTGTCTGTGGATGCTAAGGCGTTCACTGTCTTCGTTGGGTGCCAGATACTCAATTACCAGCCTTGAAAGTGCATCCGCATGTCCAAAGTCTTCTGTTCGGCGATAATTAATATCGAAATCATAGCCCAATAATATTACTGCCTAACGTTGTAGTCCACTAGTAGAATGTGCTGGAATACCGCGTTCTGACCCAGATTGAAAGGCTGGGCTTGTGTGCAGCGAACAAGGTGAATTTCTGTCTATACAGCATCTTGTGAAAGTGTCTGACCGTGAAAATTAAGGCAAGTGCTTCCTCCTCTATTTGTGAGTAGCGTTTTTCTGCTGAAGTGAGAGATTGAGATGCATGCATGACAGCTTTTTGTGAACTATATGGATATTCCTCCAATAGGACGACCCCAACACCAACGGTGGAGACAACTGCTTCAGCAAAGGTTGATAGACATGAGAGGTCAGAGCTGAGAGTGGACTTGAGTCGTTCTATAGCAGTGTAGCATTCTCTTGACCAGGACCATGTGGCATCCTTGCGCGGTAGACGACTCAACGGTTCCCGTATATCATATAGAGAGGAAAGGAATGCCGAATAGCAACTGATGAGACCAAGGAATGACGGGAGAGTCGCGATGTCTACCAGATGCATCAAAGATGAGCCCTAACTGTTTTGCCGAGTTTAGAAAGAATTGACATTTCTCCGCTCTATTGTCGAAGGCCGTTGTCTTGGATTTTCTGTAGGACCAATCGTATTCGATTCGTTAATTTCGTTGAATAGGTGGCAACTATTATGAAGCCGTCGAGGTATGCAGCAACATTTGGAATGCCTGTTAGCACAGTATCTATGACCCATTTAGAAATAGCAGCAGCGGTTTTAATACCGAATGACAGACGGTTGTACTAAAAAGGACCGATAGTTGAGAGTTCATGACATTCTGGAGGGATAAGTATGCGTCCGCCAGATCGATTTTTGCGAAATGTTTTCTTCCATTAAGTGTGGTAAGTAAATCATCTAGAACAGGCAGGGGGCAATGATGCTGCTGCAAAGCAGCATTGAAATCCGTCGAAAAAACCAGGACATATACGAATGGGGCCATTAGCTTTTTATATAACGACCATTGGGGCAGCGGTTGACCACTTATGTTAGGCGTTATATACTTCTGCTGGACTGGGTTACTGGTATGATAAGTAGCCGTAATGCTGAGTGTTCTTTTCGTAGGTCGGTGTCGAAATAAGCTTTACCTGTTAGCGACAAATCCCATCCTCATACTCAACTGTATGATAATAGCGACGTTAGTGTATCGAGATCCAGGGTTAACTGCTAGCAACCAGCCTTCTATTAGTGATAAGCCTAAAGTTGGCAGTGAGTAGGTGACTTACCAGTATGAATTAACCAATAATAGAGTCACATACCCACCGAGGGAGCAATAAGAAACCAACTGGAATCCAGGAAACTTGGGAAACTAGACAGCCTCTCCGAAGTTCACTGATTACCAATAGCGTACACCCTGAAGACTAATAAACTTCGTGTTAGTAGATCAACATTACTTTGGATACATCCGCTTTCTATATAACTTCCAGAGAAGAAAGTGAAGAAGCTGCTACTCAGTGGTCTCAGCTTTTAACAAGCCGATTATTCGTTTGAGCCCTGCACTACCTTATTTAGTCTAAACTATCGAGTATTACCACACATTTTCACACTTAACGCATGTCACAGTTTAGTCGGTGAATTGTGTAAGAGGTAGCTAAAGTGTCTGATGGGTTGAAAAGTTGGCAAACAAAAGCTTTGAAGTTAGGATGTTTTACCGGTTCACTGTGATAATTGTCAATCACTACCAATGTGGGACCCATATTGTTGCGTCTCATCTAGTAGCATTCGGATCGAAAGTAGTTCGATTCAAACTACAGCTTAGATATCTAGACCATAAGCCATACGTGTTTTGGAAGTCCTATCTATGCTACCAGGCTTTCCCTTGTACTTGCATTACTGTATTTTAATGAGTAGAACCAAAGTTTTACACGTTTGATAAGCAGCATGTTGTATGCATATTTGTTAGTGATAATCTGTCCAGTTGAAATGCTTTACCAACGAAACCTTTTTGTTTTCCTTTCACTCAGACCCCAAGTTTTTCGAACATTAGGTATCATGATCTGTGTTTTTACCATGGCCTTCAGTATTGCAAATGTCATCGTAGGAGCAATTACAACTGGTGATACGCGCTCAAAAGTATATTCGGATAAGCACTGTATTTTGTGTGGTCATCGTTCGTCACGGTTTGTAAGTCAAATAGTTGGTTTATAAGAATATTTGTGTATTATTTCTGTACAGTTTTGTAATTCAGTTTGTTCATACACTTAGCAGTTCTATCGTTTGGAACCTAATTTTGACTAGAGTTTGAACAACCTTCAACAACTATGACCCACTTTATCTGACCGAACAGTATTCCAAATATTAGACGCTGAGTAAAAGTTTGATATTAGATATAATTTATTTGTGCAAGTCACAGCGTATTTGAAATGAAATAGTTCCCACTTTTCGCACAAAAGTCTGGTCCGAACTTCTTCAAGGAAATAATCGAAATTAAAAATGTCAAGGATATATAAGTGAATCCAAAGACGCATTTAATCTCTTTGTCCAATCCTTTACGTAAAATCATTATCTTTTTGAAATATGATTACTGTTAATCATTCAGTATGAAATTGTGTCTCTTGTTGTATGGTTAGCGTTTGTGTGTGTGTGTGTGTGTGTGTGTCATAGGTGAAATTGCAGTCATCGGGTGATTTTTTAGGTACAGTAAGGCATATGAGGTGGTTTTGATTCACGTTCCAGTCTTTTATGTGATGTTTCTACTTATGGTAATACTTGTAACATTCATACTTTGGTGTGGTTAGCATAACAAGGTTTGCTCATCTACGAAATCCTACTTCCACTTCTCCCGGAAACCAAAATATTTAGATAGAAATTTTGTTCAAATTGCATTTTAAGGGTCGGGTATTTTGTGCTGAACTTCGCTCTGTTCCACTCTTTGGCTCTAGAACATGGCCATTAAAGACAGGGGACACGAGGCTTTCACTGTTTGACTACCTCTACCTTCATAGTATAGTCCGCGTCGTGGTGTCACCATGTCAGTAATGCACAAACTAGGTATAGAGTTTTGGAGAAATGAAAGTCAGTCGATGAGGTTGTAAACCGGCCGGGTGACTGGGACATGTGTTACACGTATCTAGTCATCGTCTGCTTCGTCGCGCATTGTCAGCTGAAGTAAGTTCAGGGGTGAAAAAACCCGCTGGGGGTGGCAGACTAAAACATGCCATTAATGCACGAAGTCCGACTGTCAGCTTGAGCTGTGTATGGAAATGTAGACTTCGCAGTTGGGGTCTATGTGATAACAGAAACCAGTGGTTGGAGACTAGATAACATGGCTCAGAATCGATCTCAGTGGTGCATATGCATCCATACATTATCCTAGTTTTAGTCGCCATACTGAATTTAGCATTTTCTCAATTCTCCTTCCTCTCTTTAACTTTCTGATGCTCTTGACTGATTCTTCATATATTTATCTTTCATCTTATTGACTTGTTGTTTATTGTGCTGATATGAGGTGTGGCAACTTCTACCGTTACATAATAATGTTTGGTTCTATGTTGATATTAATGATGATTACGATGATTCATCTTGACACTGATGTTATTCTACGGATTCCGATGCACGTTTATGTACTACGTTATGAGCCACACTTATTGCGTGGCCTCATTACTACACAGCCATCCAGTTTAAATTAGGTGGAGTGGCACCGAGGAGGTGTAATCAAGCGTACAGTATGTTATGCAACGTAAGGCTAGCAAACGTCAATAGATTTCCGTAATTTCACCCGGACCGATTCAAATGCAAAGACTCATTCCAGCTGACTCTGACCACGATTAAGAGCGAAGAAAACTTAAACATGAATTGACCAGAAATCACATTAATCGCAAACAATCGTGGATGACGAGTGTCAGAGACGAAGAGATCAGTGATAGGTAACATCCGCCTACTATTTAGACTTATTGGAAAGGATATTGGCAAGAGGAAGATGATGGTTAGTGATGCCGTACCTGAAAAGTCCTCTTCTGATAACCACAGAAGAATCAGCCTGAGGAACATAGTGTCTAAGATTCTAGGTTCTATAATTCTTCAACGTCTGAGTGGAGCTCGAGAAGAGCAAGCGCGAGAAAACCAAGCAGGCAGGCAGGCAGGCCTTAGACCCGGTCGTGGGTGTATTGATCAAATATTCACACTGTGCCAGGTTTTGGAACACAGACACGCTTACGACGCTCGACAATAGGTGTATTTCTCGACCTGAAGGCGGCGGCATTCGACTCTCTTGATCGAGAAATCTTATGGCAATGTTTCTCAGTGAAAGGTGTGCCGAATAAGTATATCACCTTATTGAAGGCTGTCTACTCGAACACTTGTGGGCATGTTAGAGCCTATGGTGAGATGTCCGGGGGGCTGTGCTCATGGAGTGGTGTCCGTCAAGGGTGTCCACTCTCTCCACTCTTATTCAATTTTATCATAGATATTCTCCCTGTCGTCACCTGACAACACAGAGGTTGACCTAATCGGTGGAGAATTTTGGTTAGACCTAGAATATGCAAATGACATAGTCGTGTTAGGTGAAGACGCTGAGAAGATGCAGAGTCTTCTGAATACTGAGTGGGAATTTGAGAATGTTTGGGATGCGGTTCTCACCACCCAAATGGAGATTGTTGCTCCAGGATTGGTCTTCAACAGTACCGCGGCTAACGATAGAGAGTGAGTGTAGTGTTTGGGTGTGTCAAGCACTTCACTTACCTGAGAAGAAGGATCAGCCCCTCCCTAGTAGTGGCTCAGTGGCCGATGAAATCTCTGCACAAATACAAAAGGCTTGGCTGGCTTTTGCCAACTTACGCCACCTATGGCGCCACCGAGATATCCGTTTGTCTATTAAGGGTTGCGTGTACTGCACAGCAGTATGCTCTGTTCCACTGTATGGCTGTGAAGCATGGCCAATGAAGGTGGAAGATATGGGGAGGCTGGCTTCAGGTGTTTGACCACCGTTGCCTTCGTAGTATAGACCGTATTCCGTGGTGTCACCACGTGAGTAACGCAGACGTCAGTTACAGAGTTTTAGGCAGTAGAGGTAAATCAGTTGACGAGGTGATGAGCCTTTATCGATTGAGATGGTTGGGACACGTGTTACGTATGCCTAGTCGTCGATTGCCTCGTCATACAATGTTGGCCGAAGTAGTTCCAGGCTGGAAGAAGGTCTGAGGTGGCCAGGCTAAAACATGGCATCAATGTATGAAGTCTTTGACTGTAGGTTTAAGCCATGTGGGGGGAGGATGTAGACTAGGTGGTTGGGGTCTGAATGACAAGAGGAACCAGTGGTTGGAGACTCTAGGTGACATGGCTGAGAACCGATGACAGTGGTGCAGATGTATACACACATTATCCTCATCTTAACGACGCTATACCGAATCTCACCATTTTGTCAATCATTCATTCTTTCTTCTCGTACTTTGTATTTCTTTTGACTGAATTTTCTTATGTTCATCTTGCACCTGACTGCCTTTTTACTTGATGTACTGATTTGAGTTGTGGCAACTCAGACTGTTACACAGTAATGGCTAGTCCTATGTTGATGATACGAAGGCGAAGATGATGCTTCGTGATACGGTCACCGAAGAGGATGGCATCCGCATACCTTTTGATGACAGATGGCTGGAACACTTTGAAGCGTAGTTCAACTGAGGCCTAGCGGCGGTTTATTTGCCCGACGTCGAGCGTCAACCTGAATGGTGCGTAGATGTCGATCCTCCAACTCGTTGAAGTTGAGAAAGATGTATCGCGCCTGAAACTTTGCAAAGCAGCAGGACCTGACAGTTTGCCAAGTGATGTTTTCAAGGATGGGGGTAGGAGATTGCTGACAAGAGTGACGGAGTAACTGGGTTGTGTATGGGAATGAGAGATAGTTCTGTCAGACTGGTGTACTTCACTGATCATCCTAGTGTGCAAGAGGGGAGATAAGTCTTCATTTGACAAGCATGGGAGAATTAGTTTGACTATGATTGTGTCCGAGATCGTTGTGTCCATATTTATTGGGCGCCTGAATAGAGTTGGAGAACAGGAAACTCGAGAAAAGCAGGCATGTTTCGGACCTGGATGAGGGTGGATCGATGATACTTTTACCCTCGGACAGGTTCTGTAACACAGGCATACTTACCGGTGGTCGACACTTTTCGTATTTGTTGACCTGAATGCAAGCTTGTTATGTTAGAGCTCTACTGGGACTCATGCTGCCGTGTCAGGGCTTATAGAGAGTTTTCATCTGAATTGATGACAAGAAGTGGTGTCCGCCAGGTAAGCCAGCTGTCGGCGTTTCTTCTCAATTTCTGTATAGAACTACGCACTAGTGGTCTCTAAAACTCGTGAACTCATTGATTACTGCTTATAGTACTATTAGCATTGGTATTCGTTAGTGGGTGTAATTGTTTGATTTGGAAGTGTGCCAGGACTAATCGTGGTGTGATATTGCCTACTGAGAATTCCATATTGTATCCAAAATATTTTTTGGAATAAGGTCATTATCATTATTTAGCTGGAAATTGTCTTGTTATCTTGTGTTCACACGTAATTCAGACAGATGGGTGAATCCGACACTCAGGCAGTTCAGTTATATATGTGTACAGAAACACGTGTTTCATGTAGGTACGATGTAAGTGGGTTTCTTGGCTTGGAACTCGACTTTCAACTGATGGGTTCAGTAGTCGAATATGAAAATCATAGACGTTCCATACAAGATGTGTGTTTCATTGCCTAGTACATAGATATGTTGTGGACTGAGGTAAACTATGAATATCATCTTCTGTATTATCATTATAACCATCAGTCTTGTTATTACTTTTTTTATTAGAGTAATAACAACATCAATGGTAATAATATTGGTACCGGTGATAGTATTCATTTGTGTGATATTCATGTATATATGTAGTGAGAATGTCGTTGTGCATACTCACACGACGGATTAACTTAATAATGTGATAGATATCTACTAGATGACTGTTATTGAGTGAACAGACTGAGCATATCAAACCATTACACTCCATGTAAGGTTTGTCTTAAACGACCACTCACCTAACTGCAAGTTGAGTATTTTCTTTATTTCTCCAGCTCAGGTTAATTGGTTGATGATATTATGAGCTTTCATCGAGGCAGTGTAGTTTTTTTGGTTGGATTATCTGTTATATTTTTTGATGTGTCATGCTTTTTCTCCAGTCATTTGATACAACTCCATTGCTTCTAATTTAAATTGCTATTTTAGCTCTTAATTTTGACGTATCTGGTTACATTCGTTTGGCTTCTTCTTTTTACCGCTTTGGCTGTACCTGTCTTTCTGTGGGCGATGATACACGCTGTTTGCAGAGAAGAGACAGACTACTGGCGAAGCATGAGTACTGCTAAAGATGAAAGAGATTTTACGTATACATTCAATCTCACACATTATGGTATGTTTCTAGTTGTAGCGTTGGCTATCTTTTGATCATGCCATATATATATATTCACGCACCACACCTCACATAGGCACATCAAAGTGCGAAACGCCGAAATGAAAGGCAAATAGGGAATGGAATGTAATCAAAGTCATAGAAAGTCATAAGAGAGGAGGAAGAGTGAGTTTAACGAATAACGGAACGTGATTTAACAGTTATGATGCGGATGACATACTGATCCATGAACACCAGTGTGATGGGTTCTAACTCATATTACTTAGAAATCGAGATGTATCCCTGCTCATTCCTGCAGTGGGCAATGAGCCCCACGTATCAGGTGAGAGCTAATGACAGTACCTGGCTGCCGGAACCTCGGTTAGCGTAGCTGAGTTAAAGCGTGTGACTCATTGGTTGAAAATCAAGCGCCTAGACCAATGTGTCAGAGCTCCAGCTACCAACTTCGATCGTCTGGTAGCCCCACAAGCTGGAATTTTATACTCCCTCACACACATCTTACCAACAGACTGAGTTTACTTACTAGTGTCAAGTTTTAGTCTAACCACCTTCCATCTTTTTACAGCCTAAACCTGCTTCAGTTGGCTTTTTGTCAAAGTAAACGATATCCAGGCATGGGTAGTACGTGTTTCAGTTACCCAGTCGTAAATGTCCTTAACCCCACCAACTGATCTACCCCTTTTACTTCAGAGTCTGCGTTAGTAACGTGGTTCCACAACACATGGGCAGTGTTACGAGAACAACGGTGGTCAAACACCTCGAACCTTCCTTTGTGCTCAACTTTGAATGGTAATATTTCAAAGCCAGACTGAACTGCCACGCAGTAAACTCAACCTTGAGAAGCCAATCAATTCTGTTGCATATGTACCAGGATTTAATCGATCTCTGACCCATCAGGGCTAATCGGAATTCTTGGTTAAGAGAAGTGGTCAGTGCAATCAACCATTTTATTGTTTATTGTCAGATGAAATATCAATGCAGTTCAATCTCAAAGCAAGGATTTGCATTTCCTGGTGAGAAAGGTATCCCAAACATTGTCTAGCTTTTATTCAGATTTTTCAGAAGATTGTGTATTTCATCAATAACTGCACCTAATGGAACGGTCTTCACTGTGTACCCTGAATCTACGAAAGAATTGTCTGCGATGTGATCATTCTTTGCACACTCAGACGAAAGTAAAACCTCCATAAGCACATCTCTGAAGAAGGTTTATATCCATGGACAAAGTGAAAAACTTTACGGACACCACTTAACGTAGACAAGTTGGTTGATGGATTCACTGTAGGCCTTAGCATAACCATGAGTGTTCAAATAGATGACTTTCAGTAGAGTGGTTGACGTACCCGAAACTCCTTTTAGATAGACACTGTCGGAAAACCTGTCGATCGACAAAGTCAAATACGACGTTCAGATAAAAAATACGGCTAATATTGGGCACCGGTAATTATGGATGTCTTCCAAGATCTAGTGGGGATGAAGATTTGGTCGTTACACCAGGTCAGCCGTTCCAGAGCTTTATTTAAGGGTCTAAGGACTATAGAACCTAGAATTTTAAAAAATATGTTGGTCAAACTGATTGCTTTTAAGTTATCACTGGAGGATTTTCTCTCTTTTCTTGGATGCTATAGTCAGCAATCATGACGAAATCATATTTGGTACCCTAATTTCAACTAACACTGCAGTCGGTCTAACCAACAACTGCTGGTCACCATCCTTAAATATATCTGCAAACCCGTTGGTGACTACTGCACTTTACTGCTTCATGTTATTTACAGCTTTCCCAACGTCTTCAAGAGTTGGAGACAGTCTCAATGTTCATTCCAGCTGGCGACTGCATAGAGATCACCCAGAAGTAGGTGGAGGCAAGTTGAGTTGTTTCTCGAAGTTTCTTCCATTTTTTCAACCATCTCTTCAGATTGCTTACTTATTCATCTTTTTCCACCATATTCCCACTAACCATTGACTTTTTCATCCCAGTTTCTTTAGTACGTCTAAACAGCTGTCTACTGTTACTTGTCATCACTACCTTTTTCGCCTCTTTAGACTCCGCTCTCAACCACTGATCAAGATCCTTACATAAACTGTTTGTCTGGCCACATTTTATTTGCTTTAACTCTTCATTATACTCGGAACCAGAAGGCAGGTATTCATGTACGTTCACCGAGTCAGAAGTAGCTGAGATTCACCAGTCTTTTCTTACCTTTTTCTAAAGATGAGTTAGGTTTTTACCACTATTTTCAGCAGACCGTCGGTAACCTTAGGCTTCTTCAGGATAAATATCTCTGATAGCTATCTCCCCAGCTCCTCTTTAAAGGAAGCTTTAGAATCCTCATTATTGAGCTGCGCTTGTAAAGATCTTCTTGCTGCATTTTCCCTGTTTCCGTTTAAGCACACACGTGATCTATATCCAAACGTGTGTTCCAGATGGAGTGACAATTTCCCACTAACTGTCTCCAGCAACAACTGAAAACGTGTGTGCACCGTTGGGGCTAGTGAACACTACGTTGGAAAATGTCTCTCTTCATGTTTGAAGTTCATAGTGAACTTACATAGGTGGCTGACTGGACATAGTTTTTTCAGGCGGCCGCCGTTATTTGCTTGTTCAACTGGGAATCTGAGAGCACAACCGAAGTCCTATTTCCCCCGGTTTAGTCTTTCTACTTGTGTGTGTTTTACAATGAATGCATCTATTCATTGCACTGTTTGTAAAAGGCTAAACAATTACTGGTAAAAGTCATCTTTCGCTTCATGCCAGTTGTGGTCAGTAGGTATGCAACCAAACATTAGGAAGAGACGTTATTTTTTTCTTTACTGTGATGTGATGACTGTCCGTCAAGCAGTGCATTTTCTGTCATATAAATTAACTCTATACCCGCACATGTTAGTTAAAGTTTAGAGATTGGTGTGCGGTTCAATGTGATTACAGATATTGTAAATTAGTGAAATTGTAATACTTATCATAATGTAAGTGCATAGGTATTTGTGAATAAAATTGACAGTTATTGCAAGCAGATTTTGTATGTTTAAAAACTTTATTTCACCACTGTGTCTATGCAGATTAAATTTACTCTCAGATTAGTCAGTTGGGAATCTTTTAACAACCTGTTTATGTAATATTTTATGAAGATCATTATAAAAAGATATTCAGCGATGAGGACTATTTTCAACGAATTTATTCTCAAGCTGTACATTCGCATATATATATATATATATATATATATATATATATATATATATATATATAAAGAATGAATGTAAAGAATGCAGTCATGTAACACAATATAAACTTGTATAATATATTTTGTTTAGGTCTTTATCGTCGACCATTAGATACTAGCTTATGGAACGAGTATGTAAATTCACCAAGCGCATTTACGCATCTTTGCCAACAGGTACGTCCTACTGTAATGTATTAATATATAAACTTAAGTTATTTATAGTATAATATCCTTCTCTTAAATCTACACAAAATTCACTCACTTTCCGTCGTTGTAGTGTTACTCCAACATAGTCAACACTGTGCAACATCTATAAACTTCGATCAGTGCTGAGTACTAAAGACTAAACAGCTACATGGGTTACTCTCTGGTGACTAATTCATATATTTTTAGTGTTAAAGTATTCGAGAAGTTGCTTGGTACTAGTCGTTTAAAATCTCAAGAAGGGGATCATGTCTAATTGAAAGCCCACAACCTTTGTAATTCTTGGTTCTTGATAGTTTTTATACACTTTTTGGCGTATACTAAATGCCACTTTTGAATATCAGCTGACGTTTTACTGCGCGTTGAAGAAACCAGTTATGTTAGAAGTGTGAATCTACTTCACTTTGGTTTAGATTGAGGGATAGGATATTTACGATGTACCCTAATGAACAAATTAGTTGAAAAATAGCTACATCGTACCCCAGAATTTCATGTCAGGAAAGATTTTATTAATACAGAAGAAGCAATGTTACTATTTGATCTCATGTGTGCTGTTTTTTGTGAATATACCGGCTTCACTCACACCATTCTTCCAGGTTTTACATTGCTTTCGTCTATCTGCTTTTCACTGATTCCTTGGTGTCGGACCCAAGTTAGATTGGTCGTTTTAGCAGTTTGCATTCAATCATGAAAACAATGCTAATGTCTTTACTTGTAGAAGCTTAGCATTTCACCTCTTCATCAAAATATATTTTTGGTCTTATTAACTTTTGTTGACCGAGTTGGATGTTTTATATTTATTTTAGGTTTCGACTATTGGACCACTGTTCGCTAGTGCTTTAATCGGTTCCTTACTAGTTATTCTTGGCTTGGTAAGTCCCATAGTTTCTTAGTCTATAATTGGTTTGTTTCGTTTTGAAACCTCTTTTCTTCACCATTTAACACTTCATTTGTCGATGGTTATCATAAATATCCCGATTCATATTACCCTAATCAGTTTGTTCATGACTTTTAAATATCGTAATCACTTCAGAATGTTACGTGCCTATTCGAAATTAAATTTCTCTTATATTCGTATGTAATTCATTAACCTTCTATAAATACATCGTATTGTCTTGTTTGTACATGAGTGAGAGATGCCTGATGATGTCTCTCTCTAGTCAACCGCTGCGTGTAGATCTCACCTGTTAGCAAGTGACAACCCTAGGAATATTGCAATGAAAGTGGTAAAAAAACCTCAAGGAACCATTCACGTAAGATACGTATAAAATCTCTGTATCACTGTTCACAAACACATAATGCAACAGAACTGCAATATGGTTGTGACTTGGCTTTGATTTTTGAGTCGTACCTGATAACGCTGCACACTGCCGACTTTTGTGATCTCTTGAACACCATGGAGTAAGCCTTAATGCATTGGTACGTGATAATCCAATACAACTGTTGGTTCCTGCATAATTTGGCGTCATATTCCGATCATCCTTCTGTTTCTTCAAATATTTCCCAATGAAAAGTATGTTAACTGCTAGAATGGCACATCCATAATACTGAAGTTTGTGTTTAAGAATGGCATCATTTCGTGAATGGTAACCCTTCCTAGAAACACTGATAGCTTATACTTTGTATATCACAGTGAACCGACGAGCTACACTGACTGAAACACTTGTTCTCTCGAGGAACTTCTGTACCCAAAAGGTTTGCTGGATAGAAATACAACGTGGAGCTGTTGTTCAGTGGATTGAGGAGATGACTCTATCAACCATTGGGCCACGGGTTCGAGCTCTGCTCCACGTCTGAGGTTGAACAGCCAGGTAGTATCACCAGCATTCATAAAATAGGTGCGGCTCAGTGTCTGCCGCACAAATGTATACAAGGTGGCTGGTTGCATTGAATAATTATTTGATAACTAACTATTATTAATTAATTAAATAATAAAACAAGAAGCAGTCACCGTTGTAGTGTAAATTGCTAAACTATAATGCGGGTCTGTTTGTCAAGCTCTACTATTGAGTGGATGGTGGTGTGACAGCAGTAACGTGTTTCATTTGCATGACCACCAGTGCCACACCGATGCTTCCTTCTTGGTAAGAAACAGATTTAGAAAAGGTCCGCCCAAAATATCATACGCCTCTCTCCATTCGCTTTTAAAGTCTCCGCGACATAGGCTTTTCCTATCCGCGGTTACAAGAACCAAATTCCTAAAGAAATGCCCATACAGAGTCGTAAGCGACAACTTATGCAAACGTCCCCTGTGCTCTATGGTCATATAAATACTTTTCTCATTTAGATACCTTAACGAGAAATTGCCTTCCACGGTGTGCGCAACCGGAAAGTGTCAAACACCCACACACCTCCAGTAGTACACGAAACCCAATAAAACATAACCCATCCTTCTCAACTATATCTCCTCCTTTGCCTTCACCTCCTGATACTAATATTAAGCCTTTTACACCTTCCCCAACCTCTCATTCTGTCATCATTGCCAACGATCCAAGCCAGAGAAACACTATTCCTAGTCTCCTAAGACCCCGTCATTGGTTTCATGTAGGAACTCAGTGCCGACTCGTACAGCAGGCATCGCTCTCTGGAATCTCGAGCCATGGACATATGCTGTGTCTCTGTGACACGTGTAGAGGATCCGAGTGTGGTTATTAAATTGACCTCACTTGGCTATTGTAGTGAATCTTCAAGATTTACTTTATGAGTGAGTATCCAGAGACCTAGCGCCTAGTTCTCGTTGACTTATTGGTGTAGGCATAGTATTGAGCTGTAGAGGAGAAAGTGCACTTCTCGACTGGATACCAGTCACCAGCCGTCTTTGTGTGCTGTTCGATTGAATGAATCTGTAGGAACTACGGTGGAGGGGGGGGGGCGGGGCGGGGGGCTTGTGGAAGTAGGCGATGCCTGTTGGTAACCCACCAACTGGAGTTCGGATGATGCGAAGGATGAGTTCTATGGAAGTTGTCAATTTGTTACAGAAGACCAAATGTTCAGATGTGGTCATAATGGCAGGTTACTTCAACGCTCAAGTAGGGAAGTGGAGCCAATCGTAAAGGCATCTTGGAGGTATATACGGAATTCTATGCTAAGGAGCCGACAAGGGTGATCGTCTGTTGCAATTTTGTTCTGACAATCACTTGTTTTTGGTCAGCACTAACTTTGTGCATAAGGAGAGACACAGTCTCATATGGCGTCCATTGACATCAAACCGACGATGGACACAGGTAGATCGCATTGGTATAGACCATGGTTGGAGAGGATCGGTGGAGGGTTGTCACTCTTTTTTGAGTACCTATCCGGACTACAGTCACGCACTAGTACGAGGGCATGTATGTCTGCGTGTAAATGGCTGCAGCAGACTGGCGATAGCAAGTTTGTCCATGGTCGATTGGAAGACGAGAACACTATGTACGTATTTAGTGATGAACATTTATCTGAGCATGACAGCAATGCTGATCCTGAGGAGACCTGGTGTGATATAGAGTCTGTTGTGGAGACAGCGGTAAAGGCAGTTGATAACCTACACCTGAAAGTTAGCAAACGTCTCTAGATGTCCATAAAGTCATCGGAAGTGATTGATGCGAGGAGACTGATTTTGACCATGATGAAGAGCGAAAACAACTTAAACGTAAATCGACCAAGTGTCTTCGCGTCGATCACGAGCAGTGATAGGTGGAGAAGGAATTAGCGTTGGGTAGCACTCCCCCCCCTCCAACTATTAACTATTAACGCTTATTAGAAAGTATACTGACTAGGGGAAAGATGATGGTTCGTGATACGGTAACCGAAGAGGATGGCATCCCGCATACCTTTTGATGACAGATGGCTGGAACACTTTGAAGCATAGTTCAACTGAGGCCTAGCAGCGGTTTATTTGCCCGACGTCGAGCGTCAACCTGAATGGTGCGTAGATGTCGATCCTCCAACTCGTTGAAGTTGAGAAAGATGTATCGCGCCTGAAACTTTGCAAAGCAGCAGGACCTGACAGTTTGCCAAGTGATGTTTTCAAGGATGGGGGTAGGAGATTGCTGACAAGAGTGACGGAGTAACTGGGTTGTGTATGGGAATGAGAGATAGTTCTGTCAGACTGGTGTACTTCACTGATCATCCTAGTGTGCAAGAGGGGAGATAAGTCTTCATTTGACAAGCATGGGAGAATTAGTTTGACTATGATTGTGTCCGAGATCGTTGTGTCCATATTTATTGGGCGCCTGAATAGAGTTGGAGAACAGGAAACTCGAGAAAAGCAGGCATGTTTCGGACCTGGATGAGGGTGGATCGATGATACTTTTAGCCTCGGACAGGTTCTTTAACACAGGCATACTTACCGGTGGTCGACACTTTTCGTATTTGTTGACCTGAATGCAAGCTTGTTATGTTAGAGCTCTACTGGGACTCATGCTGCCGTGTCAGGGCTTATAGAGAGTTTTCATCTGAATTGATGACAAGAAGTGGTGTCCGCCAGGTAAGCCAGCTGTCGGCGTTTCTTCTCAATTTCTGTATAGAACTACGCACTAGTGGTCTCTAAAACTCGTGAACTCATTGATTACTGCTTATAGTACTATTAGCATTGGTATTCGTTAGTGGGTGTAATTGTTTGATTTGGAAGTGTGCCAGGACTAATCGTGGTGTGATATTGCCTACTGAGAATTCCATATTGTATCCAAAATATTTTTTGGAATAAGGTCATTATCATTATTTAGCTGGAAATTGTCTTGTTATCTTGTGTTCACACGTAATTCAGACAGATGGGTGAATCCGACACTCAGGCAGTTCAGTTATATATGTGTACAGAAACACGTGTTTCATGTAGGTACGATGTAAGTGGGTTTCTTGGCTTGGAACTCGACTTTCAACTGATGGGTTCAGTAGTCGAATATGAAAATCATAGACGTTCCATACAAGATGTGTGTTTCATTGCCTAGTACATAGATATGTTGTGGACTGAGGTTTGTGTGAATCTTGTGATTATTATGTTTATGGTGGTGGATTTTTGCGTGTTTGCATGTCGTACTTTTCTCACTTATTTATGCCCATACCTGGAAATTGCGTGTATTTGGATATTTGGTTTGATTGTTTGTGGTTGCTGAAATGTGTTAAAGTTGATGGCTCCATTTTGTTCTTCGAAAACTTGTGTTCTCACTGTATATCAGTTTATGGATTTAGTTCACTGTATGAAATAATCGTCTTTATCTGGTCTTAATATTGTCACATTATAATCGGTATCAGGTTACGTATGTGACATACATGAGTCAACAGTCGCGTTCAGGTTTCTGAACTAGGCTATTTTTCATTGGTGTATGCAGTTGACATTCTGCTGATAGGTCTTAGGAGCTAACCCTGCTCCACCTATTGAGGCTTTTTCAGTAAAGTGGTATCAGTATCCTTCACATATGTGTGACTCATCATCACCTGCATGAATGTGCCGAAGGTTGCTGAGAGAGGGCATTTCGATGTTTTTTTATGAACTCGGCTATAAGCTATAATTGCCCAAACCTAGGTAGGTGATGGTGTGAGTTTTTTGATCTACCGGTTGTAAAGTCAACTGCCCAGACCAATGAAGCACCACTTCAATTTCAGGTAAGTTAGTTTCTGTGGGTTACCTCAGCAACTTTTCTGTGCACCTTGAAGTGAAAACAGTGCGTTTGCAACCCAGTGTGGGTAGCTGACCAGTTCTCTTACCTTTGGCTACTCAAAACAATGGAGCAGAAACGAAAGGTTACCTGTGATCCTTTCCTATTCACTATCCCTCTAGGATTAGTCTTCTTTTCGAAAACATGTCTGTCTGTTACCCTTAACTCAATGTATAAATGGTAACAGTTCTCTTTCTTATTTACATATTTTGTTTTTAGAATATATTTATAGCTTGTTTGTCAACTGCTTGCGTGCGACTGCAATATTTCTTTGAAATTGATCGTTATCGGAAACTAGTCAATTCATCGCCTCAAACAGATCCGACATGCTTAGAAGAATATTCTCTTCAACCTTTGTTACAACAACCGCGATCTATTCAGTCTGTTGATTCGCGTATGAAATCAAATACGTTGCATTTCTCTCAGGATAACATAAATATGGTGCATCCATTCATGAATTCTACGCCATCTGGTGTGCGTCTTATATATAATTCTAACATTTTTAACGACTCACAAATGTCTCAACAGTATTATTCTCACAGACCTGTAAGGCACTCTACTTATTCGCACCAATCAGACACTCTGTACACCAACTACTGAATCTACAAACGTGCATGCATCAGAATTTTTAGGGAAGCCATTTTAAATAAACTCCCTATTTGTTTAGCTTTTGTGTATATCATGCTTGCCTAATTGGTCTCAACGTTGCGTTTTGTTAATTCATAGTATTTCCCAATAATTCCATTTAATTATCCTCAGGTCCTACTTGCATTCCACATGTTTATTTTGTACGCTTGTATATATCTGTTTTTTTTTCATTATTTTTACGTAATCTGCATTTGCTATTCGTTTCCATCTAACATGAATTCATGTAAGATACCTGTGACATTTTTGTTTAAGTCCCATAATCTGTCTGTTGTGTTCTTTTCGTACCATGCTTTTCCCCCCTCAGAAACAGTATATACTGATTTATTTTGTGCACCTTGTTTTATTAGCTTCTTTTCAGACCATTACTGTGAATCATAAATGCACCAATATTAAGTCTTCTGGCATACATTGAATATTACTAGGCTTCTCATTAACAAGTTCACTGTAGGTAATTGAGTCATTCAATGCAAACTAGGTTATAAATGAAGAATTGTTGACTGGTTTATTTCACAATTAAATTTTTATGCAAGATACCTTAATGTAGGTATGTAGATCAGTTGAACAAATCTAAAGACTTGTGTTGGTGCACTGATAGCTGTCGTCTAGAGTTTCTAGACTTTTGTAAAATTGGCTTGAATATATTTCTTTTCGACAAAAATTTGATTTAGTTTACTACAAGGTGGCTTCTGAACAACAAACTAAAAAAGAATTTTAAGCAGTTTTGATTGGCACATTGGAACTAGCAGCTACTAATGTAACTGCAGACAACGAATTACGTGTTCTTAGGAATCATCTCGGTAACCGACTTTACTTTGGTTGTCTTTCAGTTATATGATTGGTAAAGACCATGCAAATGTACCAAGCTCATTATGTGTTTGATTATGCTATAGCATGACTAAACGACCTGCATTAAATGGGAGTATTTTGTAATGTACCATCTCAATATTAAACTCTTATTTCACTATGAGTGTTTACAACAGAAAAACGGGTGATAAATTGCAAGTCATTTGAGCCCTAATGTAATTGTCAAATCTTTTGTGAGCTGAAAGATATAAGTGAACTATCTACTGGTCGATAACGGACTAACATTTTTTATAATGCAAACCAACCATTGAGCTCATTGATAGATTGGGGAAAGAAGGAAAGTCTCAACATCAGACGTATGGCAGTTCTAATAAACAAACTAAAATGGAATTACGATCTACCACAGTGCCCAAGTTTTACTCCTATATTAAGAAGTATGAATTGTATTCGTTTACATTCCTTTTAACATTGCGAAGGTTAAGTGCATTCGATAATTAAGTCAAATGTAAAACTGCGTTACTAAAAATTATCCTATCAACATACTCAATACATTTTCAAAGCTACAGTAAATCATCTGTATTCTGGCTAAGTCTACAAACTATTTGTACAATAAGGATATTCAACTCTATTTGAATACCTATAAAAAGGGACGAAAGGATAGTAGTCGTGGTTAAAAAGACTGAAGTGAGTCATTCAAATTACGTACACTAATAGTCTTAATACTTTAAAGTATAGCCAATTACCATCGATACGACGGAAGACAGAGGTTAAGGAATATTAACATGAGCCGAAAATGGAGACACTCACATGCTATACTTCGAAAATATTTTAATTTGCATAGCAATGCAACTCAAAACAAGTCGAAAGACTTAGTTTGGTTTTCACTACCTTTGATTACATCACTGCCTAGTTTCGTCAAAAGCTGACAAAGTCCCTCTTGAACCACTAAGCGATGACAATAGAGGTGCCCTACTTCACGTGGTGATGCTAAGTGGCAGTCTACACCTTATTGAACCAGAATAACAAGTGTCATTTCTCAAGTCGGATGTGGTTACTGGTTGGGGTTTGTTGTACAGCAAAGAAAAAAAGTTATTTGACAAAGGTCATAACATGACATCAATCCGTGAATATGATGACCTTAGCTACCACGTGCACATTCGTGCAGTAGGCGTTGAGTCCCACCTTTGTCGGTTAGTGATACTACTCGGGTGTCGAAACTCGAGTAGGCGGAGTGGAGTTCAGACCCGTAACTCACTGGCAGTTACCATGAGTTACGTAGGCTGCTCAATCAGGGTCTTCAAAGTCATAGTTGAAGACCCTTACTTCTGCAACTTCAGACGATCGCAAAGACGCACATGTTTTCTTTTTTAGTCATATCAACTGTGAAAACCTGACGTCATCAAACATCTGTTCATTTCCTTCCGCGTCGTAGTTGGTTTCAGCAATTTGAAAGCTAACTGTCCAAACCACAACACTGTAAAAATCGAATATTGAGGAAGTTTCTACAGATATATTATGCAGACCAGTCTTAGAGATGAACACGACGTTAACCTCATTCTAGAACGATCACTCTTCGTTAATGAAGCTTCTAGAAAAGTCCAACCGATATTGTAATTATGATATCGTCTGCATCTTTAAAATGAGCTGACAGTGTTCAAGCCGGGTGCCTTGCAAAAGTTCCATGCTTCGAGCTAAGCGAATCGGTGTCAATAGTCCATTGATTAGATCTAAATTACATGTAATGCATCATTACTTTTTGACTATAGATATGCTGACTATAATAGTCACTAAACAGAGCATCGATTGAGCTATAGTAAAAGCATTCCCTTGGCTTAAAAATTTACTTTACCAAAATACACTTTCGTAAAGTAGTGGACAAAAACCATCTAAGTAACATCAAAATTTAACGCGACTTAGAGGTCAGAAAAAATTGGCAGCAAAATTAACGCAATCCACCCTGCCCCACAGTCTTCCGGTTCCTATCGTCTGGGTTCTCCCCATCCTGCGATAGAACAACTAAACTATATCCCATAAAAGGCCGTGTATTATAGGCCTCAAGCAGATGTTCCATGACCTCTATGGTCACATAAATACCTTCCCCTTTCAGATACCTTAACGAGAAATTGCCTTCCACGGTGTGCGCAACCGGAAAGTGTCAAACACCCACACACCTCCAGTAGTACACGAAACCCAATAAAACACAACCCATCCTTCTCAACTATATCTCCTCCTTTGCCTTCACCTCCTGATACTAATATTAAGCCTTTTACACCTTCCCCAACCTCTCATTCTGTCATCATTGCCAACGATCCAAGCCAGAGAAACACTATTCCTAGTCTCCTAAGACCCCGTCATTGGTTTCATGTAGGAACTCAGTGCCGACTCGTACAGCAGGCATCGCTCTCTGGAATCTCGAGCCATGGACATATGCTGTGTCTCTGTGACACGTGTAGAGGATCCGAGTGTGGTTATTAAATTGACCTCACTTGGCTATTGTAGTGAATCTTCAAGATTTACTTTATGAGTGAGTATCCAGAGACCTAGCGCCTAGTTCTCGTTGACTTATTGGTGTAGGCATAGTATTGAGCTGTAGAGGAGAAAGTGCACTTCTCGACTGGATACCAGTCACCAGCCGTCTTTGTGTGCTGTTCGATTGAATGAATCTGTAGGAACTACGGTGGAGGGGGGGGGCGGGGCGGGGGGCTTGTGGAAGTAGGCGATGCCTGTTGGTAACCCACCAACTGGAGTTCGGATGATGCGAAGGATGAGTTCTATGGAAGTTGTCAATTTGTTACAGAAGACCAAATGTTCAGATGTGGTCATAATGGCAGGTTACTTCAACGCTCAAGTAGGGAAGTGGAGCCAATCGTAAAGGCATCTTGGAGGTATATACGGAATTCTATGCTAAGGAGCCGACAAGGGTGATCGTCTGTTGCAATTTTGTTCTGACAATCACTTGTTTTTGGTCAGCACTAACTTTGTGCATAAGGAGAGACACAGTCTCATATGGCGTCCATTGACATCAAACCGACGATGGACACAGGTAGATCGCATTGGTATAGACCATGGTTGGAGAGGATCGGTGGAGGGTTGTCACTCTTTTTTGAGTACCTATCCGGACTACAGTCACGCACTAGTACGAGGGCATGTATGTCTGCGTGTAAATGGCTGCAGCAGACTGGCGATAGCAAGCTTGTCCATGGTCGATTGGAAGACGAGAACACTATGTACGTATTTAGTGATGAACATTTATCTGAGCATGACAGCAATGCTGATCCTGAGGAGACCTGGTGTGATATAGAGTCTGTTGTGGAGACAGCGGTAAAGGCAGTTGATAACCTACACCTGAAAGTTAGCAAACGTCTCTAGATGTCCATAAAGTCATCGGAAGTGATTGATGCGAGGAGACTGATTTTGACCATGATGAAGAGCGAAAACAACTTAAACGTAAATCGACCAAGTGTCTTCGCGTCGATCACGAGCAGTGATAGGTGGAGAAGGAATTAGCGTTGGGTAGCACTCCCCCCCCTCCAACTATTAACTATTAACGCTTATTAGAAAGTATACTGACTAGGGGAAAGATGATGGTTCGTGATACGGTAACCGAAGAGGATGGCATCCCGCATACCTTTTGATGACAGATGGCTGGAACACTTTGAAGCATAGTTCAACTGAGGCCTAGCAGCGGTTTATTTGCCCGACGTCGAGCGTCAACCTGAATGGTGCGTAGATGTCGATCCTCCAACTCGTTGAAGTTGAGAAAGATGTATCGCGCCTGAAACTTTGCAAAGCAGCAGGACCTGACAGTTTGCCAAGTGATGTTTTCAAGGATGGGGGTAGGAGATTGCTGACAAGAGTGACGGAGTAACTGGGTTGTGTATGGGAATGAGAGATAGTTCTGTCAGACTGGTGTACTTCACTGATCATCCTAGTGTGCAAGAGGGGAGATAAGTCTTCATTTGACAAGCATGGGAGAATTAGTTTGACTATGATTGTGTCCGAGATCGTTGTGTCCATATTTATTGGGCGCCTGAATAGAGTTGGAGAACAGGAAACTCGAGAAAAGCAGGCATGTTTCGGACCTGGATGAGGGTGGATCGATGATACTTTTAGCCTCGGACAGGTTCTTTAACACAGGCATACTTACCGGTGGTCGACACTTTTCGTATTTGTTGACCTGAATGCAAGCTTGTTATGTTAGAGCTCTACTGGGACTCATGCTGCCGTGTCACGCGGTTTTTTCTTTTTTGGTGTGCATTGACGTCAACCGGTTTTGTGGTGCCTGATTTTCGGCTATCCTTCTTGCCATGGAACTTCTTTTTTGACTTAGGAATTGGTGCAAACTTAAGTGGGTCTCACTTCGTATAGACTGGCCTTCTCCGCGTAATTCGCCTGGTTTTCTTGTATTGAGTCGATATTTTTCTTCTTGGTAAAGACATTAATAAATTCCATGTTGTTCTTGTCGCTTTGAACCGAAGTCTGAATACGTTTGTCATGCGTTTCACTTGCACCTGTCAAATGTAATATGTCTGAGGACTGAGCTGCCACAAATGCTCCCACCCCTGTATTGCAGATTGAAGTGGTGGAATGCATCCGCCAGATTGCTTAATTTAGGAGTGCATTGAGGTTAATGAATGTCCTTGGAGATGTTCATGCGAGAAACATGTGATGTGGAATAGGAAGTTCAGCCAATGTTCTTGACTTTGTAATCCGTAATCCTGGGTGCAGGAGTAATTTTATTTTCCGACGAGTTTACATTCGTCATAAGTAATTTCTTGGATATAATTATTATTATGATTTGTCCCTCGGGTTCCTAGTCGAATATAGAGCTTCATTTGCACGTCTCTAT